ATGAAAAGATGTTACCAGCGGTCGCGATCCGAACCAGTCCCGCTAATCCAGAACACGGACTTGAAGGAGCTCCCCATGAAACTTAATCCACTGTACGTTTCATGGGCGAGACACAATGAGCAGGAACAGTGTCGATTCACCAAGTTCGAATGAGTAAGCATTGGGGAATCCCCAGCACCGCGATTAGGATGAGATCGTGACGTCTACACAACCGCGAAATTTGACATTATCCTAGAGTATATCCTAAAATTGGGCTCTATGGGGGATGCATTTTATTTTCTATCAAACAATTTTTATTTAATTAATTGTGTCAATATTGTGTGACAATATTGACAGCGACGCGAACGACATCTGCATCGACAAGTAAGTACTAAGTAGTTACACGATATGCTCATCCTCCATAAGAAAGCATGGCGAGCCATAGGAGCCCATAGCCAGAGGTGAATTCATTTGATAAGCACTGTAGACGCAATGTCACGGCTAAGTTAAAGCTGGAAGATTACCTTCCAAAGTCGAGGCCGAGCGCTTCTAGCTCTTTCCCCAATCTAAAAAAAGCTTCAGCAACACAATTCTTATAAGACTTGAACTGGTTCCCCCTCATTTAGCCCTTCACATTATTGATTCCTCTTTTAATGATGATTTTAGATTGGTCGTTGCCGTGAGAGCGGAGCGAAAGGGATAGGGAATTTCTCGTTGCGGTTCAGGATGCTCTTTTCACTCGGCACGTAGAAAAACCGACTCGCGAGGAAGCTTTATTGGATTTAGTTTTCGCGACGAACGACGATCTCGCACTAGACGTTAAGGTACAGGATAACTTGGAAGATTCCGATCACTGCGGGATCACGTGGAATATCAAGCGGACGAGGAGTAACGCTATTGCAAGGATATATGGAAGAATACCAAGAGGTCCATAAAATCGGCCAGGCAACCGGTCTGGTTTGATGGTAAAATCAAAGCACTCATCAGGAATATGAAGCGGAAATGGGATACGTATAAGCGCACAGGCGATAGAACGGACTATGAGGAATATAGGAGGATCAGGCGGACGTTGAAGCGGGAAATTATTAATAGATCTGCGAGACGGGAGCGAGAGGAACGGCTGGCTGGCGATGCTAAGAAGAACCCTAAGGGTGGGTTTTTGAACAGAGCACTATCCGATAATGCAGCTTTATTTACCGGATTTATAATGCATTTTCTCCGAAATAAAGCTGCATTATCGGATAATGCTCTGTTCAAAAATTCACCCTAAGGCTTTTTATCGGTATGGTAGTGGTAGGTGTCAGCAGTCGATGAACAATGAACAAAAAGAGGGAGTTGATTGCAAGTGATAAGGATATGGCCAGTAAACTTAACGAGTTCTTCTCTTCCGCTTTCACTGTGGAATCCGAATCGGCACCGACTTTGGAGGTGACCTCGGCGCGCATCGAGGATATTTCCATCACCGAGGAGACGTATCCCGGATCTCGAAAATTTGCCTCCCGATCCAGGATGCAGGAAACGATCGGCGCCGGCCGTTTCAGCGTGGCGAGGATCCAAAGCCAGCGGATTCTTCGCACGCCCTATCTCTCGGCCATGGAGCGGAAATAAAAAAACTGAAATAATTTTTTGAAAATAAATAACTGAATTCCTCGTGTCTAGAAGTTTGGATCATATCCGGGAACGATTCAAAACCCAAAACGGCTCTCGAGGTGGATAACTCCGCAACTTTAAATATTCTTGAGGAGATCCCATCGAGGTCAAGATCGTTATCGAAATCGGATCTTCGATCGATATGCTGTGTATCAGACAGGGATTAATTTTCCTTTTTTCCCGCCTGGTTGAGCAATTTCCTTCTCACGGGCCGAGAGATAGGGCGTGCGAAGAATCCGCTGGATTTGGATCCTCGCCACGCTGAAACGGCCGGCGCCGATCGTTTCCTGCATCCTGGATCGGGAGGCAAATTTTCGAGATCCGGGATGACGCAACGGGTCTGCCTCGCGTGGAGCGCGAACGCCGGCACGTGCGATCTGCGGTGGTTGTTTGCGTGGGTGGAGAGCGTCAGATGAGCGGGTGGAAGCGATTTCGCTCCTTTTCTGCAGTCAAGGTCTGGGGATGAGTGGGAGCACACCTGTCCATCTTTTATTGCCGCTCCTGCCAGCATGCAGTAATTTTTCAATGGCAGAACGAGCTTGAAAAACGGTCCGGAAAGGTGTCTATGAGGCGGGATATCCCCATGAAAATGAACCGCTCTTCTCTCGGAGGAGGTTCCAGCAGCAGAAGTGGACGGTCGGATGCTCGTCGCCTCCCCGATTGCCTCTCTGTCTCCTCGATATCTCGAAAACCGTAAGAGCCAGAGAGCGAAGATTTCCCACATTTTCAGGAGTCTTCAATGTGAATATTTTCCTTCAAGCAAATCCGAGTCTGAAGCCCAACGAGAATGATTCGAATTTAGCCACTTGAGCTGGAATGCCTCAAATCGAATCGATACGAAAATGAGTTGCCAAATTTCTTGCATCGTGCTGAATTTGTTCTGTTTGCATGGTACTTTACTGTTTACGATTTTTCGTTTTTCAAGCACCAAATTGAATAATATCGTAAATTCATTTGACGTTTCATCAGTTAGCATTGCCGTTTTTAGTTATCGATGCTTTGCTTTATTTGAGAAGTGAACAGTCATTCCTAATCTGAGTTCGTTTCATTTTGAAGAAAATTTATGTTGACAATGGGTTTCTCGTTCACTTCGAGATCAGATGCTGAATCAATAGATGAATCAATACATCACCAGTCTTGGTCGAGCGTTAGTGGCGTGAGGACGTATCACCGATTTGCTCGAATTCTACGACTGGGCGACAGAAGAGAGGGGAATAAGGGGAATCCCGTGGACATCATCTATTTAAATTTCGCGAAAGCTTTCGATACCGTTCCTCACAAGAGGTTGCGGGTTAAACTGGAGGCGCACGGGATCCAGGGTAGGACGAGCGAGTGGATCGGTAGCTGGTTGGCAGGACGAGAGCAACGGGTGATGATAAATGGGGAAGCGTCGAAGGAGGTCGGACGAGCAAGCGGTGTCCCTCAAGGCGAGGTCCTCCAACCGCTTCTATTTTTGGTCTACATAAACGATTTGGATCTCGGCGTATGGAGGCGCACGGGATCCAGGGTAGGGCGAACGAGTGGATCGGTAGCTGGTTGGCAGGACGAGAGCAACGGGTGATGATAAATGGGGAAGCGTCGAAGGAGGTCGGACGAGCAAGCGGTGTCCCTCAAGGCTCGATCCTTGGACCGCTTCTGTTTTCGGTCAACATAAACTATTTGGATTTCGGCGTAGAGGGTGAGAAAAATAAATTTGCCGACGACACCAAGATAGGTTTTTACGTATGGGGGGAGGCGGATAGGGCTAGAGCCAAGCAAGATTCAAGACTTTTGGGTGAGTGGAGCAAGATATGGCTCATGAGGTTTAATAAAAGTAAGTTTAAAGTTCTCCACGTCGGTCGAAATAACGGTAGGTCTCTCGACACGTTCGGCAAGGTTAAACTGGGGGAGGCAAACGGAGAGAGAGAGACTCAGGAGTTTCTTGACGATGACCTAGTTTTCCTCGCACGGGCAAGCGACGGTGGCCAAATGCAGCAGGATTCTAGGTTACATTCCCCGCTCGGTTGCAAGTAGGACTTCGCGCGTTATTCTTCCGTTGTATGCGACGCTGATAAGACCCCAGTTGGAATATTGCATCCAGTTTTGGAGGCCGACAAATAAGGGTGAATTGTTGGCGTTCGAAGAGCTACAGAGGAGGGCCACAAGAATGATCAAGGAGGTTAGGGGACTTCCGTACGAGAAGCGTTTAGAAGTGTTGGGACTGTACTCCCTTGAGAGAAGGTTAAGGAGGGGCGATCTCATCCAGGCATTCCAGATAATTGAAGGAATAAATAATGTAGGGTGTGGTAGGTTTTTCAAGGCAGCAAGAGAACGAAAGGTAATCAACTAAAGTTGCGATGTTTAAAGTTGTGCAGGTGCGGCTCAGGTCGAGAAAGGAATTCTTTACTTGCAGGGTGGTGAACGCGTGGAATGCGTTAGATGTCGAAGTTGTGGCTGCCCCTTGTGACAATTTTAAGAAGAAACTGGATGCTTTAATTGACAGGCAAAAAGGTGGGGGGCAATCTTGAATTTAGAGACTAGGCAGTAAGCTACTAGGATACGCTAAAAAAAAAATACCCAAAATACAAAAATATTCAGCTTTAAGAGGATTTGGCCTACCCTAAAATAAAGGAACACTCGACCTCGACACGTGATATCGAAATGGGTGCAATCGCCTTTTGATATCACTACCTTGATACCTTTTTGCCATTCCCACCCAAACCAATCTAGGCGACGAAGAAAAACCTCGCTCCCGAACCAAACCTGCCAGAATGAATGACTAGACTAAGTAAGCCTGCAGAAAAGGAAAAGGCTGAAAAAAGCTACGCCACACCCCTACGACCAGTGATTGCGCACGGAGGAGGATACATTGAACTTTTTTTTTCATAGAGTACACATTTTCCATGTTTATGGATTCTTCATGCAGAATTTCAGGCATTTAACTCTATTTGTTCCAAGACTATAAATATTTAAAATGGACCCATGAATAAAAAATCACGCTGTAGATATTCAGTGACAATGGGGTTTCCCTAAATGCTACCTTTTAGCATTTGCGGGAAGATCTGCCAGAATCCTCAGCAGTTTCATGAAAAGCCTGGGAAGAGCCAGTGATAGAAATAACTTTCAAACTATTTGCAGATTGATATTTAGAGAATCCATTACCAATTTCATGATATGCCATCATTTATAAATTGCCCACCAATGCACATAATGGACATTACCCTTGACCTGCTAAAGTTAAAATATGCCCAAGGATTTTCATTCATACAATTTCAGGTCTCCTACATTGATTTAAAAAAAGCTTCAAAAACACAAAACTTTATCTTCCTCTACACCGGAGAATGCAAAAATATTCCAGAATTGTCTGTGACTGAACCATGAACATTTCACACTTATACACCATTGAGCCTCAACCAAGAAAAGCAATCAGAAGGCTTCATGATCAGCTGCTCAGAAGGCACTGCATCCATCATGTGAAGAGTCCCCCTCACATAATGAACCATAGCCTCCATGTTCTTGGCATCCACCTGACGGCTGAGGATCCGCCGCCACAGAGCACCAGCAAGAACACAATCAGAACTAAGGACACCTTCATCATAGTTGAAGAGAGCTGCTTGGAACTGCTCATGGATTTCAGACAAGTTGGTTCGAATAACTCTGGATGAGGTGTCTCCAAGAGCCTTGATGCGGGCCTCGATGTCTTGCCAAAGGATTTCAGACATGCAGTTTCGCAAATATCGGCCGTGCTTCTCCTCTCGCATCACTCGCACCATCATCATCCATACGTGAAGCTCAGTTACTAAATACCAGGAATAGAGTGTGTCTGGCATTTTCAATTGCTTGAAGAACCTCATGTATTCTAAATTGTCCACAGCACCTTCATACAACTCAAAAGATGCTCTCTTGAGTGAGGACTTAGAATACCTGATACGCCTCCTCAGAGAGGATGAGAGAGAAGAGGAGATTCGTTGAAACATCTGGAAAGCAATCACAGCTGATTTAAATGCAACAGATTACAATTCAGGTATTATATTGCGGTTCAGAGATTCATTTTGATCAGTTGCTCCTTCTGAGGATGAAAAGGGCCATAAGGCAAGGTATTCCAATAGGGACATGGTGTAGTGAGGGAGGAACACATAGGATGAGTACATCAGCATGGTGATGGTGAGTAGGAGAATGGTATCTGTGAAGATGGGCATCAAGGAAATTTACTTATATCATTCTACTAAGACAAAATCACACCTAGCATTTCAATCCACAGGTAAAGATAAGGGAGTTGATGAATATTTTGCAGTAAGTAGTAAAATAAAAAGAAATACATTGTGCTGACATCTATTCAAAACTTAATAAATTGACATAATTGAGAAGTTCTTTAGAAAAAGGGCATATGTGCAAAAGATGCAATTCAAGATCAATGATAAAAACGTCCCATGGCTAATCCAAAGCTGGTGAAAACTTAATTATCAGTAAAATGATATCTTAGACCTTTTTCTAATTGAACTTGGGGTTCGAACGAATTTCTTCATCTCCCATTGATAGGGATGCAGGCAGAAAGTGTTTATGCACAAACACCCTTTTTCCATATCTGCACTGCTGAAAGTTTTTCCAAAGAGTCTTTCACCATTTCTATCTAATTAAAAATAATAAATAATCAATAAATGCATCTACATATTTCAAATAAACTCTTGAAAAATAGCAATGAAAATGGGAATAGTGAGGACACCTTAAATTCACAAATTACTCAGCAGTGATCCATTATTAATGTACCACTGCTGAATCACCTAATCTTCAACTATTTCATGGATATCTCCAACTTTTCACATCCTTCCAGAGGCTTGAATGACTGGGCCTCTTTGTTTTCCTATCTTTGTGTCTGGTTTCTTCCTCATTTTCACCTTCAGTTTAAAAGGATGAAATAATTCCACCAAAATCATTCAACATATAAGTGCTAATGTTATATTCTTGGAGGCAGGCATATTGAAATTGCCAGGCAGTTGGCCTGCTATTTAGTGAGAGCATAGGAAAATCTGCTCCTCCTTTGCTGAATACATATCTAAACTACTAGCTGACCACCCTATCCTATGACTAGTCACCAAAAGCAGCACCTGGACATGGATATGGAAAAAGGGCGTATGGCCACATATGCCCCTTTTCCAGAGAATTCCTCAATAACACGCTAGGAATTAAACAAATGTGAGGGGAAAAACACAGCTTAAACAATTTTTCATCTTAAATATATCCCCATGCATAATGCTTTCAACAAAAAATGAAAACTGTCACAGAAGTCAAATGAAAAATTCATGATCAGCCCAATAATAAAATATTATGAAATCTCTCCCATCTTAATCCTAGCCCTCTTCCAGCACAAATGGGTCAATTTGGTAGGTCCTGTACAGATACTTTTTCCAGAATAGTGCAGTTTTGAATTTGAATGAGAATAACAGCAATTGATTTGGATTATGAATTTAGTATAACTTTGTTCCACTCTATTCCCCTTGGGATGCAAGCATGGAACTTCAAATGCAACTCAAGAAGGGGATCCAGATTGTATAAATAATTAAAATCAAAGCACCATACTGATTTCTATCATTTCCTGAATTAAAGAATCTCACAGAAAGTCAGTGAGGGATTTCACAGCATTTTTATTTTTAAATTCCTTTCCTTTCAATGTGAAAGCTGACCACATTGCCATCGTAAGAACAAAAAGACATTTCACACAATCTCATGAGACTGCAAATTCCCATGCATGGGGAAAATAGTATATATTTCCATCAATGGACTACTCCTGTTGACATAGTGAAGCTAACAGGCCATCTGACTGAAAAATCAGTAAAAATTGCACTTAGACATTCATTCATTCATGCAACAAACAGCATGCTGGGACAAATACAAAATTTGTCTACCAAATTTTGGACATTCATTGGAAATATAAGTTTCTGAGGTATCAACTGCAACAGGCAGGCAAATGCCAACCCACAGGAATTATCATTCCGGTGCAGTGAATGTTTTCAAACTAGTTTTGTTATATCCCTAAAGATAAGATCTAGAGGGGATGAAAGAAGAACACATCAACTGGATCCTCTTTCTCACAAGCAAAGTCACATCAATGTGCTCGCAAAACCAAGTCATCATCTGGTGGACAAGACTCGAAAAGGATACTGAATATTATCTTCTCTTTTGGCTCCAGCATGTACACAGAGAGGAGCAATTCATACTTCAAGTTCCATAACTCCAATGTATCTCTTATGTGAGAAAACATGGTTCAACCACAACCCAAGTGCATCAGCTGATGAAATGCACTGTCATAAATGCAGAACTAGATTGGATAAACAAACAGATAAGTCAAATTTAGAATCCCATGCAAGAGGAGAGGCTGATGGCACTATCCCTTTGAAAGCATGCTGCAAAATCCATATGGCAAAGGAAAAGCCAGGAATGATGGCAATAAGGCCTGATTCAGCTTGTTCATTCAACATTCACTTTTTGAAGTCATTGTACCGTATATAAGATCAGTTTCTAATTCATTCTTCAAATTACCATAATAGGAACAGAAATAAGCAGGTCTCAGCCTGACACTATTCCAAAAACTGAATGGATTCAAATGGCTTTCATAGACTGTCTGCTTCCATGAGATTAAAGAAAAGTATGTTGGTTCAAGAATAAGAATACTACACCATATGAAACACATTTATGCATCTCCTAAAAATTCTTATTAGAGAAGGTTGAAGTTTTGAATCTGATAAATTGGTAAGAGCATATTAGTTGCTGCTAATGGAGTCCAATACACCAGTTTCAGTTTCTTGGTACCTTGTAACTGCTAACCATGAATGAAAAATACATCACCCAACAGAGATTAAATCAAATACGGAACTTACTTGAGGTGGTCTTTTCATTCACATTTAATTAATCATAAACAGGCTAGATTGTTGGTATTACCAGATAGTTGATAAAACCTTAACCTGGAAATCAATTTTTTAGGCTAATTGGACCAGCAGCCTTAATTCATCCCATCTACTTATTCTCAATCTATTTTCTACAAATTTGAAATTTAGCTTCATCTAACATTTTCTATATCAGAATTCATTGACAAGGGTTTCACTTCCTTTTTGTTCTGGAAAAGGAATCCAAAATTGACTGGTCTAGGGTCTACACCTAGCTGTTTGATAGCAACATCTATCCATGCATTTTATATGCACCTGTTGAGGAACACAAACTGACATTGTGCCATCATACATCATATGCACAGACCCAATACTCTAAAAATTTTATTGGTACACCCCTACCAGGTAAAACTGTCCTCCTTGGCTTAGAATGTAAAAAAGGAAGAAAAGTGGCACTTTGCATTTCTCAGAGTGACGAAATGAAAAAAAAAAAAGAAATACTGCAGCTGCAAGTAAAACTGAAGACTCTTGACATTGGTTTATATGGAAATGTCAAAGCTGTAAAAAGCGGATAGTAGTTATATGAAATTTGATGCAACTAATGTCAATGCTTAGGTTTCGAACACATGAAACCTAGTGGTCTATGTCGAAGTACACAAGGACGTTCCACGTTAGACTACTGTTAGGCCAAAAAAAAATGTAATGGGTCGAACTGGTAGGCCCTGAAAGGTATAAGCCTATTAATGGGTCCATTGACCCGTTAATAGGCCTATAGCATGTCGGAGAAATCACCATCTCGACGATATTATTAGGACGATAAATAAGCGAGCGATGCGTCAGAGACCACATCGCACCACATGCAACCCCGGTGACAGGCAGACGCCATTTTAACCTGGTCTATGGTAGACGCAATGTCACAGCTAGGTGTTAAAGTTGGAAGATTACCTTCCAAAGTCGAGGCCGAGCGCTTCTAGCTCCACCCCCAATCTACGAAAAGCTTCGCCAACACAATTCTTACACGACTTGAACTGGTTCCTCCTCATTTAGCCTTCCACATAATCGATTCATTTTTATGATGTCTGGATGAGTTGACCCTCTGACAGTTGCATAGACACAAGATGAGTCATACCAACAATAAAAAAATACAGGGTGCCTCTGAGAGAATAGCCCAGCAGACAAGAACATCAAATATTCCGGGCACTATCAGAGCAATAAATAAATAAACTAGTAGTAGCCAAAACAGAGGATAAATAAATGAACTTAATTTTAGGGGGAAATAACTCAGATACACTAAAGTCTAGATCTGACCCTGCTGGTCATTTTCTATTGAATTTGGGATTTCTCAATAAAACAGAGGACACCATCACTTCAATGGTTCTGTGATCTGAGGCAAAGCAGATCAGTACTTCCTTTATTTAGACGTAGGTGTTAGTTGAAATTTTCAGTATGAAAATTCACCAATTAAACATCAATCATGAAGTCATTGTGTCACAGATGCGATAGTCGAAAAGACATCTCATGGACATCAAGACACCAGTACCAAAATAATTTCTTTATTTCACAAGTGTTTCTAACAAGTCTTTCTTTACTTTTGAAATGATTCTCTTTGAGAGGGCCTCACCACCTTGAGCTCCTGCAAAATACAGGAATGGGATGAAAAGCTTAGACACTTTCAGTTCTCAACATGCTTTAAGCAGGGATGCCAGATCCCTGAATTTAACGAAAGCAGATTTTCTGTATACTTGTCCCAACTGTTTTTGGTGTGGGATGAGACTATTGGGGTAATTATCAACTTCTTGCCTAGTGTGAACATGTAAAATTATTTTCCTCAAATTTAGTCAAAGATGTGCATAAAACATATAAAAACTAGAACAAGGAAAATGGTCCATGGATTATTTTTCTATTTAACTGATTTCATCCTGATGACTAACATACCAAGAATTAGAGCCAGCTTTCTTGAATATGTGGGTGAAAGTATCTAGCAACCCAAGAGGAAATCTGATACTCACCTTCAAGAAGCTGGAATACTTCATCATGCTTTTCAGCAGCTGTGATGATTTTCAAAATCCACTCCTGCCACTGATTCAGATCATGAATCATGGCCAAAACCTCTGCAAAAACTTCACCCACCATCTTCACAACGAGGACTTCATTTGCAAACACTCTTGCCTCTTCTGCCTCAAAGAGAACCTCACTGCTGGCGGTGATGTTGACTTCTTCAACTTCATTGCATTCCAGGTACTGCCACAGGAAGCTGAGGATGGGAACAGGTTTCTTGGTGGTCTTGAGGTGGCAAAGGAAAGCTTGAAGTGCCTTCCATGGCTGCAAGGGGAAATCTTGGTCAATCATTTTGGTCACCAAGACTGACATTTGTTCTCTCAGTGAAACATCATCATCTTGAAGGAAATTCATAACAACTGGTCCAAAGCACTGCAAACTCAATTTCCTGTGAAGGATTTCCATACTCTTCATCACAGCAAATCGTCGATCAGGAGTTTGATAGGGTCTGCTCCATTCAACTGCTAAAACATCCACCCTTCTAATGCACTTGACATGACCTTTGGAACCAAAGTGAGCAATCACAGGCAGGAGAGATGGATCACCTCCAACAGCCACCAATGCAGAGTTTATCAAGTCTTCAGGAGCCTCTTCCTGCATGTAAATTAGGAAGGGGCATAAAATGCCATGGTGAGCAAAGCAAGCAGCAGCTACTTCCCTTGTTGATTGGCCAAGAATTGGCAAGATTGATGCCAAAAAGGAGGCCACTGACTGCCCATGTCCTTTTTGGCACATATCCTTTACTGTGGCAATAAGTTTTTCCTCACTTTGGGTCAAAGACATCCTAAGAAATGGTCCAATGTAATGATCCATTTTCAACTTTTTTTCCATCTTCCTCAAAACTTCATCAGTAGCCTTTAACTCTATTTTCTCTTGCATCACTAGTCCTTCCCACAATTTCACAATCAACTGTGCACATATTGATGGAATCTCATCATGAGCAATTTCAAAGAGGGACATTATGGCTGAATAAAAGTCGAAGTCACTTCCCAGGAGCAAGAGATGAGACATATACACCAAATTAGAGTGAATGGCATTCCAGCATGTGGGTCTTGTCAATGCTCTTTTATCAGGTAGTTCTAGTTGTGCAATGCATTGGGCAGAGAGGTTTCTGACGATGGCGATCGGGCTCAACATCAATGGTCGAAGATATTTCTCTGTCAAATCTTGGAATTCCTGCTCCAGATGCGACAAAACAGACACTTGAGTGGAGAAGCGAGAAAGGAATCCCAGGGTAGGGATGAGGGAAACATGATGGGCAAATACGAGTCGTATGTCCTGATGTGTCTGCAAGACGTGTGCAACAGTGGAGAGTAAACGGGGATGAGCAGTGAAAAACTCAGCTGCAGGAGTTAGGTTGAACATGGACCAGTCTGCTTCTGTCTTCCTGCGTCCCACCAGCCGAGAAACAATGGTGCCAAATAGCTGCAAGGATGCATTCCTGGAAAAAAGACATACAGTGTAAGTAATTTCAAACATTGTTACTCCCTCCTTTTGGAAAGGTCCATTGAAGTATGCCCAAAAAGCAGACTGTGCAACATATCTTCACCTGATGGCCCATAAAGGGGATGAGAAGCAGTCAATGCAGAGGGTAAAGAGATCCTCAAGGAATACAACTCCCAAAGTGGGAACAATTTTTTCCAAGCAGTGTAAGGCACACACTTGTGGGAGATCATGCTGTTGGTCTGCAGGAGTCAACTGCACTTCAATTCTTGCTATCTTCAACAAGTTTGACATTGTCTGCTCTCCTAATGGTCTCTGGTTGCCATAGGAAATAAATTTATAATGCACAAGGACAAAAAAAAAAAAGCAAATTAGGATGGAAATTATGACAGGAAGTCTCACTTGCAAGCATCTGGTGGGCTCTGCAGATGATATTGCCAAGAAGAGAATAGGAATACCTGCTCCTCTTCTTGTGATGGACACCCTTTTGTCCTTTCCTTGTCCCTCGACAAATTCAAGAGTCTCTTCCAGAAACTGTTCAAGCACATTTGAGAATCCTTTCTCTAGCAATGCCTTGCAATAGGCTGTCATTGCAACTCCCACAGCCTCAATCACTCCTAAGATCAGCATTTGCATGCAAAGTAACAGAATACACAATCGAATTCCAAGAAAACTAGGTCAAGAGGTAAATAGCATGGCATATTGTTCTTGGAATAGCAAAATTCATTTTTTCAAAATCGTTTTTCCATCTTGTGTCATAAACTTCCATTAAAATCCAATTCTTTCCCTGAATCACCAGAGACTATTATCTTTGTTCTCCATCTACTTCCATGATCAATTCCTCAGTTATGTGCCTCCATCATTATTGATCTCAATGTCACTCTCATCACCAAGCTAAAGCAATAAGAAACTAAAATTTGAGCATTATTTTCCAACAATTCATCACCTCTCATGTAATCAAAGATTAGCTGCAGATTTTGGCTATCCTTATTTAGGCCCTTGAAGTTAACCTTAAATAATGGCAATAACAGTATGACCTCATAAACATCTCCCTCATATGAAGGATGGACAAAATCAGGAGAGGAAGCATAATGAGTCACTAGGACATCCAGTTCTTTCCTTGTGCTCAAAAGGAAAAAGCAATCGACAGGAGCATAAAAAGTCTGTGAGCATGTTGAGTTGATATTATGAGGCATAATGTTTTCCTGATCTGGAATTTTACCCTGACTTCAACCACATGTGGATACAATCAGGATACAATCAGACTTTTAATTTAATCCTACTTAATCTGCATATCACATTCAGGAGAATCAAGTTGGATAAACCTTCGCTTTGGATAAAACTTCTTGTAAGTTGTGAAGTGAGCTGCTCTGGAAAATCCATCATAGTGGTTAAAAAGTCTGCATGCTTTCTACAGCTGGATAATGATAAAGACTTCAAATTTAAAATACTCTACCCCCAGGTGAACAAGGTAAACCTGCATGTCACTGAATTCCAGATTCCTACCATTCAATAGCAACTTCTCTTCATTCTCTGCATTTTATACTCCAAGCATAGTTCCCACAGACAAACCAAGGTGCTCATCTAAGGAACCAATTACTTTGGGAAATATGAAAACAGATATCTCACCATGAATATTCCCAGAGAGTTGGAGGAAAGAACCTCACCTTTGTGTCGACATTGAACAGCCAACCTCTGAAATGTCCTCCCAATCATCCTGAGAGTTTCCCTGTCCTTGATATCTGGTCCCACACAGGCATCTTTCAGTAAGGACACACATTCCTAGAGGGATTGTTGCCCTGATGTTTGTCAAACTTGCACTTAACTGTATAAGCAGTCAGGGAGAGGAGAAAGAGGACCTCACCTTGATGTTGAGCCAAGCATATGCTAACAAGAACTGAGACTGCTTGGTTTTCCTCATATTGTGTGATTGGGTCTGAGAAGCAAGATCCTCCAACCACTCTCCCATGTCAGCGAAGGAAGCTGAAACCCCTTTACCATGAGGGAAATAATTAGGGTTGGTGAGGATGTGACATTTGAGATAAATTGTAAGCATCATACCTTGATCAAGCACAGAATGAGGGGAGAGGATCTGGAGCATCTGTGTTACCACATTGCAACATAATGGAATGATGTCCCACATGTCCTCAGGTCCAATACAGCACCGCAGAGCTGCAATCCAACCATGAATGGGTGCTTCACACAAAGCTTTCACTGGGTCCTCTCGACTCATCTCAAAGTCTTCTTTCACCTTTTCCATCATCTTCTTCACTAGAGAGTTCTGTTGAGATGAACTGCAGATGTATATTGCCATCAGGAGTGCCCCACTCTCATAGAAATTGAATTTGAGGCTTTTCAAGAGTTCCTCACTCCTCTTTTGTGCGTGTTCCAAAATTTCAGGCTTGAGATGCTTTGCAAGAGGTACACGCAAACATTGTGCAGCTTTCTCACGAATCTCTGACACTGGATCATCACAGATCTTCAGCAAGCACCATAAAGCAAGGTCCCCAGGTGGTCGATCAGGAAATATTTCCACAACAGCACAAAAGGCAGCCAGAACTGAAGATCTCATGCAGTAAGGTGTAGACACACAATAGCGTTCCTGAATTTCCCAACACTGGTTGATGAGATGAATATTTTCATTTGCCAGCCCCGAGTCTCGAAGTCTTTGCAAGAAGCTTTTCAGCCACCTCTGCATACTGTGACGAAAAGAGGCAGCATCAAAATTGAGATTCCAAGCCAGAAAGTCTTCAACTAGAGATACTTCTCCTAATGTGGGTAGTAAGAGCTCTTGCTTGCAGCAGCACAATGCACCGAAGGCATCAGCACGGATGAAATCATCAAAGTGAACAGCAGCCTTGCTCAGAAATTCAAGGTCTTTAGGTTTAATATGATAGCCATTTCTTTTCCAGTGAAGCAATATGCAGCTCCTTGTTTGCATGTCATTTTCCAGATGAGAGATCAGTTCTTCTCCAGAGCCTCGTAGAAGAATCAAGGTGTTGGGCAGGAAATGAATGAGAATATTTTGCTTCACGATCCTGCAACACATCAAGAACATACATGAAGAACATATGGAATGGTCTCAAAAACTCAGCATCAACTCAAATCTTACCCCCTGGGGGACTGAAGAGCATGGAGCATGTGTGGAAGAAAGAAAGTCTTCCACTGCTTCAAGTCCATTTTTGAGATCAGGCTCTTGTATATATCAGAACCATGGGGCACACTGCTGTTTGTTGTGCAACTTTCAATCAGTCCTTTCCCCAGATCTGGGAACCATTCCATCATCTTCCAAGGCAAATAAAGTATTAAAAAAAAGCAAAATATCACCTATGATACATAAGCTGGAAGTAACTTCAGCAAATTTTAAATTACACTTATTGAGCACATGTGGGAAAAAAAAAAAAACAGAAACCAGATGTATAAACCTAACCAACAAAAACTTCAAGGGTGGAATCATGGTTGACTAGATGGCTAGCAAGATTTCAACCCACTCTCAAAATCAGCTTGGGTTCAAGTAAATTACTTTCAGTGTAAAACTACTCCATATTTACCTTTTTTTCACTTGCAGCCAGCAATTAAAATCAGAATTTTATTAAATTCAAAGGAAATATCACAGGATTGGACTACAGCAGTAATTCATGATGCCCTCTGGGGGAGAGTTACCAGACATGTGTCAACATTGCATCAATATTCTGCTGATAAATGATATAAGTATGAATATGATAAATATAAAAACAAAAATTTTGCCTTGCATCTCCCTCCTCTCACTGTCACACGTGCTACTTGCTGCACTTGAGACACTGCACTTACATTGCTGACTAGATTGACTAATATTATTTAGCAGGTAGTTATTCTAGTATGATATTGAAATCAGCATTTTGCTTGAAGAGTATTTTGTCAGGAAAAGACCATTCCTGTAACTTGTATTTTGTCACTGAAAATGTAACTGATACCTGTGTCACTGGCATCAGTGGAACAACAGCAGCAAGAATGCGGAACTTGATGAGACACTGCCATGGCAGCAGGGAGACTCTTGCAAGCAGCACACTCTGGGCCTGGGGACATGTTCCACACAGTTCCTTGATACATGCCCGGATCACAGCCGAGGTTACATTTCCATCTTCCCAGTGACACAAGACCACTTTCATGATTGCATCCACTTCCATCTTCTCTGGTATCGACTTCATTAGGGTCAGCCACTGCGACAATGCCTGCCAAACAATGCATCTTAGGAGGTTCCCATTTTGACACAAAGGACATACAAATGTACAACTAAAATTAGGGTTTGATAAAATTCAATAAATGCATTAATCAGCTCAATCTCAAGCCAGAAAAGGAGCCAAAGCCAAGGGGAAAATGAAACTGAAAAAAAAGTGATGCTTGGCTTGATGCACATGATGAAAAAAGGAAAAAACAAAGGTTACATTTTCTTTTCATAACATTTCTGGTAAATCAATATTTTTCATTTGATATGAAGATCAACAAAATGGACATTAGGGCCAAAAGAGCTATTGCAGATAAACAAGGTATGTTAAACAAATTACATTTTATCCCATTACCATACCCAATTGAAAAAAAAACTTTCCTATTTCCTGGAATGATTGACATATAATTCCACTAACATCACATAAATACCATGTATACTCTTGCTTCTCTTTTGTAAGATTGTACTGAACTCTATAATAATGGTTAAAAATGGTGAAGCAATTGTTGAAAAAGAGTGATAAATACTCAAGTTCATGTCTGCTATCAGTAATACACTAATAAAACACATAAGAAGTGATAGAGCTACCCCAGGCTGTACAGACTAGCAATAGGTACTTCAGGTTGAGTATTGACTGAAAATAATCAACCATTGCTCAACTTGAGCAATAGTGATTAGAAGTGGAGATTCCTTCTTGTTCAGATTGAGGCTTGCCATCAGTCTGCCTTGAATATATGCACTAAAATATGAATAATGCCGTTTTGTAGACACATTTCAATTGCTTGTGGAAGTTCACTGACTCCCAAGACATGAGCAGATATGAACTTGACCATAACTCACTGTTCAACAGCAAAGTTCAAGATTTTCAACAAGTACCAGAGTAGTATTTTCAACCAGAGTATGACATGATAAAACATGAATTAAAGACATCATGGATGTGGCCATTGCATTCAGTTAATAGATGAATAAATCTATCATTCCTGAAAATAAGAAATGAATTCATCCATTTGACCATAGTGAATGACACCAAATTTTTTAAAGTACCTCATATGCATACCAGCTCCATATAATAAAGCTAAATGAAAATGCATCCATGTTGTATCTAAATGTCTAGAATGGATCGAAAAACACTGTGCCGCTGGAATATGCCATACCTGGAAGCTCTCTTGCATGAATGGTGAATTAGCCATGCAGAGGTCAACAAGAGGTGAGTGAAGTCTTGCTAAAACAGGCAAAGAAGTTTGGACCAATTTCTTATTGTGCAAATATCCATGAATGAGGGCAAGTTGAGAGAAACAGGGCTGGGAGTGGAGTGACTCCTCGAGGGATTCAAGTGGAGGGGATGCAAGCTGGAAGAGGAGGATTCCAGCCAAAAGACCACTGCTTACAGGGCAGACCTCCCTCTTTATAATCTCCAGTAAGAGGCCTTTCAATTCCTCTTGCTTGTTTCCATCCCATTTGGAAATGTGAATTTCCTGGAAATTGAAAAGGGCATCACCTCTTCAAAACAATTTAGAAAAAAAAACCAAAGTTATTTGAGAGCAATGAAGCTGGATCATTACATACCTCTTAAAGTACAGCTGTCATTATTGGTATATTTTTTACAGCTGCAGTGAATCTCACCTTTAGTATAGAATATAAGGAGCACTGAGTGCCCCTCCCTTGGTGAGACAGAATAGAAGTCAGTTGCTCCAGGATCTCCAATGTTCTTTTCTCATCCATGCCTAATATTATTCCCCTCTCCAGGTTTCCCTGTGCTCTCTGAAAAGATATGAGGATTTTGGCAAGGCTTGGAAGCTCAAATAAGGGTTCACTTGCTTCATACATTTTAAGTTATATATCAAATCACCAAATTTTGGGTCAAGATGAATCACAAATGTGATACAACTTGATTGCTTGAAATCAAGTGACCCCACCTTGAACTCCTCATTCCTAGGTGAATGTACCACCCAACTATCCACTTCTCATGTCTATCACTTAATGTTCATAAAGAATTTTAATTTTACACAATTGTAGAAGCTAAAATTCTCATTAACCTATCACACCCAACATGAGTTACAAACATATCTGAAGCATGTCAAAGAGCATTTGCTTGGAGCTCTGCCTCTTCACATGGCTCATAAATCATATGCTTTATAACTGACAGTGAGAAAGTCTCATGAGCAAGAAAAAAGACTTGATAGAGATATTTCTAATTTGCTTCAATCTATGAGAGAAGTCTCTTGAAAATGAAAATGCCAACAGTTCCCAAAACCATGAAAAATAATTCTTTATGAAGGAATGGAATGAAATGCAGATCACATCACACACAGCAGAAGATAAAGATGATTGTTTCACATCATAACAGTAGCATAACAAAGCACCTTCTGAGATGAGAATCTTCGTTGCTCCAGATCATGCACTTTGCACAGCCTGGATGAAAGCTCTCACGTTCTCTGGGTTGGTATCTGGATAAATCCCATGCCCCAAATTGGCTATATATCTTTGCTTCCCAAACTTTGCCACCATTCCCTGAGCCAAGTCCCTCAGCTTGTCCTGAGGTGCATAAAGGGCACATGGATCCAAGTTCCCTTGCAGGGTAACATTAGGTCCGATCTGCTCTCTGGCTACTGCAGGATCGACAGTCCAATCGATTCCAACCACGTCATAATTCAGCTTCCCTAGCTCTTTCAAAGCATAGTGAGCTCCCTTGGGAAATACAATCATGGGCACAGCATCATCTCCAAGTTGTTTCTTGACCTCATGTGATATGCGAGCAAGATAAGGCAGAGAGTACTTCAAGAAAAGATCTCGATTAAGGAAGTCAGCATGAGACTCAAAAACTTGCAGGGCCTGAGCTCCAGCTCTCACTTGGTTCACCAAGTACTGAATAGTGAGCTCAGTGATTTTATCCAAGAGAAGCTTGCTCTCCTCTGGGTGTGCATAGAGCCAACGTTTGGGTTTGCTCCATGTCTTGCTTCCCCCCCCTTCAATCATGTAACTCATTAAAGTCCAAGGTGCACCTGCAAACCCAATCAGGGGAACCCTCCCTTCAAGCTTCTCTCTAGTCAGTTTAATAGCATCATACACATACTCAAGTGATCCATCATATGTGAGCCTACTCATGTCTTCAGGAGTTTTCAGAGGATGGGGTAAAACAGGTCCAACACCTGGCTCCATTGTGACCTCCAACCCCATTGCTTGTGGAATGACCAAGATGTCAGAAAAGATTATGGCTGCATCTAATGGGAATTTCATGATGGGCTGTAGTGTGACCTCAGCTGCCAAAGCTGGTGTTTGACACATTTCAAAGAAGTTATGCTTCTCTCGCAGGGCCCGGAATTCACTCAGGTAGCGGCCAGCCTGCCGCATAATCCATACCGGGACTCTCTCAGCCGGTTGTCCCCGAGCCACTCGCAAGAAGAGATCATTTTTCAATGGAGGAAATGTTGCCATTGTCACCTTGTAACCCCAAAAGAGAGTTCAATACCAGATTTGAAAGGATGCTTTGATATCACACATGGGATTTCTAACTGAATGACATCATCCCCATACCTACACCATGCAATGACACATTTGATTTGAGACCAAACCAAAATGCTCTTTGCAAAAACTATTATTATAAGTTCCATATTTCCATACAATGCTGACTTGATACTAAAATCACAGGATATTCTTAACCCTTTCACTGTGGCTGATGAGTATACTTCTATTATGGCAGCTGTGCTTGCAATGGAGCTGACAGGTATACTCATATTGGTGTTTTCCAAGACATGGTGGTCTCTCCATGAAGTCATAAAACTTTAAACCAATAATAAACTGTTGGTATCATAGCTAAAAATGTTATTTATTTTTGACACTTCACTACAAAAACTCAGCAGTGAAAGGGTTAAAATAATGCAGGTGAATTTCTGTTTATTGGTGAGCACGTCATCAGTTATGATCTGTGGCCTGCCCAGTCACCAGACTTGACTTTTTTATTTTTCTCATCGGGGATATATGAAATAATGGGTTTTAAAATAACCATTCTAACAACCTTCAAAAGTTGGAAGCCAATATTTGTCAGGAGCTGGATGCCACCTCACTTGAAGTGTTCACTGATGTGTTAGCAATGTGCAAACCCAAAGCTGTCAGCAAATGAATGAAGCATATTTCCAACCTCTCTTTTAAGATAAGAATATTTACAAACCATTCTAAAAATGATGAAAACATTTCTTTTGAAGTCTCTGTTTTACTAATAAACACCAGATATATTGACATGCTTGGATGTGAATGGATCATGTTCCTCATTTAGAAATAAGTCCAAAGGCAATCATAGCATACATAGCTTTTCAAAATGCAGCAGGCCCAAGGCCCCAGCTGCATTTCAGTTAGACCAGTGAACACAGTAGTACAGCAGCAAAGAAGATTTTTAAACCACCAAGAGAACAATTTTGTGGGAGCACTAAGTTTTCAAATTCAGGGATGTTCATTTCTATTCAAGTCCAACTTTTTTCAAGCAATTTATTGCTATCAAAAGAACAGGCAAGTGAAGCATCACCAAAACACATGAATAATATCAAGGTATGAGCAGGTGGGGATACTTCCAACTCTTGATTCCCACAACATTGTGGCCACTCCCTCTTTGGGGAATGTGTAGCAGAAGTGGTAATATTCATGTAAGTTCAGGCAATGAAAGGCTCCAATAGAAGTGTGGGCATTTTGCAGAATTCCCTTTCATAATGACCAGAGGAACAATGAAAATACATCAGTTTGATTTAAAGAATTCCACTTTATTCAACTTAATCATAAAATACAATTACCTGTTTGGTAACATGCTTTGATGCTATTACACTGGTCCCCTTGAATCCCAATATGAAAAATATAAACTGCAATACAGAGAAAAGGTAAAAGCATTTTTGAGCATATCACTGAAGGGCAGGCATAAAAATACAAATGCAATTACTGGAGGTACTGGAAATTAGAAGAACTACAAATCTTGCTCTGGAATGACTAGAATAGCTTCATTTCTTAACAAAAGATCATAGAAAAGTTACATCATATCAAAAGAATGCAAGGCACAGCCAGCAATGCCCATCTGCCAATAAAATTTTTCTAATATGGGGAAGGACTAAGTTCTGCCCACTGGAGCACTTGACCCATCTGGTCAAGTGCTGCAAAGAAGGCATGTGCATACTTTATGATAGAAAAACATGACTGGAGGCAACACCTCCTTCATTGTATGAAAATAGTGGAGTAGTAACTAAGACCTGGAAGACACTTCAAGACAAGGAGTAAACAGGATTGAGAGGAAGAAAAAAATTAGTGAAAGGGTCCATGTTTGCTATTGCACACTGAATCCAATCAGATTCATTTGGGTAAGCAGGATAGGATATGCAGCAGGCTAGAACATAGCTTCAAACTGCAGGATGTGTAACTGTAGTTCTTTTTTAGATGCATTTACAGTAGTTGTTATTATAACATATATAGTAGCTGTGTCATGAATAGATGGATAGAATTATGAATGACTGGATTTCCACCCATCAGAGTCACTTTGTACCCAGAGCCAAAGGAAATTCCCTAAAACTTGGAGTCTCTGGCCAAATCCAGAGATCTGCTCAATTTGGCAAAGGATCAATAAACTTCACACTTCCCCTCTCACCGTATTTTTCAGGGCTCAAGATTACCAAAATGAAAAAATAAAAGAGTCAAAGGGGTTTACATAACATTATTACTCTGCTCATCCTGAAAGCCATGTGTCCTTATACTTGGGGAAGCACCTGATTTTTCAGGAAGGAGTTTTTCATTTAGCATGCCTGTCTGCATCAGCCAGAAATTCATTTTGCAAAAGCTACCCATAAGAACCTGAATTCTGTTCCAATTACCACTCCCTATTTTAATTGAAATTCAATGTCAACAGGTATAACTTGAGGCAGAATACATAGCTTCTTTGAATACTGAAAGCAGACCTCTTCATAATTGAACATTAAGGTAATAGTGATTTCTCAGGGAAAGGCAAGATGCCAGGGATTTCAGAACATTTCTGCTCCTCTGATAGTGCCTCTGAAGTTGATGTTACATCTGCTTGGCATGAATGCATTAACATTTGCCCTAATGGGGTAGGGTGCTCTGACATATAAAAGCAAATACCCAGTATGAACTATTGACCCATGCGGTTATATAAAACCAGGATTTCATGTATGGTAAAAACCAATGAAGGCACCTATAGAATGCCTGCTTTGGCATAATACAGCTTCATTCAGAAGGAATAAGGTCAACTGCTTTGCCAAGAGCCAGCAGCTCAGGCACAGGGACTTCAAGACTATTTTGTCCCTCTGCCATAACTGCTTCAATTTCCTCAACTGTGCGTGGGACTTGGGACATGTTTTCAGCACCAGTTTCAGTGACGATGACATCATCTTCAATTCTCACCCCTCCAAATCCACGGAACCGAGCCAACACATCTGGGTTGATGAAGCTTGCCAGGTTTGGAGTGGCCAGAGCACGATCCAAAAGCTGTGGAATTCCAATATATGTCATTGGGAATTCAAGGGCACAGACATGAAAACTTTACCAGAAACAGTTTCTCACTGTATCAATAAAATAGCAGCCTGGTTCCACAGTGACAACCATGTTGGCCTGCAGGACACGAGCTGTGCGGAGATTCCCCAAGCCCAGCCCCTCGGGGCGTGGAGGACATCCTTCCAAGTAACCTCCAACATCATGGACATCACAACCAAGGAGGTGCCCCAGACCATGAGGCATGAAATATCCTGCCAGATTGGCCTTCATGAAAGCAAAAAATTGCATATTAGATTCTAAACAGAGGTATGTAAGAAAGCAAGCCAGTGGTTCTCTTTCACCTGGATCATTTCATTGATGTCACCTTTGAGGATACCAATCTTGATCAGTTCCTCAAGAATGATCTTGTTGGCAAGCTTGTGCATTTCTACCCAGTCCACACCTGAATGGAACACAACATATTAACTTATTTATATCACATGTTTACAATAAGAGCGCCAACACAAGTGAAAGGATGGAAACAACCAACAGTCCTTCCTAACCTGGTTTGATGGCAGCAATCACAGCTCGATTTGCTTTCAGTACAGCATTGTAGATAAGCTTCTGATCAGGAGTGAACTTTCCATTAATAGGAAATGAGCAGGTAATATCAGAAGCATAACAGTAATACTCTCCTCCCATGTCCAAGAGGCTGCACAAAAAAATGCATTTAAGATACAAAATAGCTGAAGAAAACTTATGTCTTTCATTGTGTCCTATGCTTACTTTGTCTGATGAACAAACTTCATTTCCATTTGAGATAAACTTATCAGGTACTATGTCAGTAAAACAAAAGCTTAATGATGTAAATCTTTACTACAATGGCAGTTTGGTTTGTAGGCAATTTTCTTACTCAGCAGAAACCCTATGACAAAAATTTATACAAGAATAAATTACAATTCCTGAAGCAGCAGGCCTTACCAAATGTCCCCATCATTGACAGAGCGATCGTTTGGAGCATGAGCTCCGCCATAATGAAGAATGGCTGCATTTGACCCAGTTCCACAGATGCATGTATACGCAACATGTCTACAGCCACCAAAGTAGTAGCAGTTATACATGAAGAGGGCCTCCAATTGGTATTCCTTCATCCCAGGTCGAGCACGTTTCATCACCTCTATGTGGGCATTGGTGGACACCCGTGCTGCATAGCGCAGCACCCTCAACTCCTGTGAAGTCTTGATGACACGACTGAAAACCATTAAAATACAAGAGACTGGTAATGTTTCATCCACATATATACACCTTAAGAAGTCATGAAGCTAAACTAAATGGGGATTTCCAATTCTTTCATGCTCATCTTACACAATAATGATTTTCTGAAATTTCATCTAGATGAAGATTTCAACTGGATAAAATCCAAGTGTTCCAATTATAATGCAGGGAACAGCGACACATATCCAATGGGGAACACATGTAGCTTCAAGTCTGAAGTTCTATTCAAGCCATCCCTTCAATCAAATTAACACACATTGATTCATAAAATTGGAATTCCCTAAATATTTATTATGACTCTTAAATTTTTTAGTGAAATTTTTTAGTAAAATTTCATAACATAAAATTTTAAATATAACAATCCTAATAAAGAAGTTATGAATTTCAGAAAATTATTTGAAAACTAAAGTTCACTTTTAGTCTATGATGATTAATGATGTCCATATAAATCTGTTGCAGCATACCCTGAAAAATGGCATTCAGTTAGGAAGACAAGCATGTTATCAAATGCTTAAAACTGAGTGAACATCATGGAGCGAAGAGATTTTTAAAAGAGCTGTGACTATCATTAAGACTAATTGTTTTTAAACTACAATTATTTATAATTTCATGTAAATGGACTAATAAATATAAGAGTTCTAATAAAATATTTTGGGGATCTTGATTTAATGAATCAGGGTGCACATTAGTTACACTCAACTCACCATTCTGCTATCTCTGGATACAGAGAATTCCTGTCCACCTTGAACCTGTTGAGGCAAAATAAAATGGCATTGAGTACTGCTAGAAAGGAAGAAAAAGAAATGACTTCTTTTTTAATTTCAACTTGGAATTCAGTCACTATTCCAGGCAAAATTCATAAAAAATAAGTTGGTAAGTGATTAAATGAAGAAATACTTTCAGGCTTTTGCTTAATGTGTACCCAGCAGCTTGAGAGCAAGCAGCATTGACTTCCCAGCCAGGGTAGTGACATGATGAAGGGTAGATGGTTTTAATAACAGAACCTGAAAACACCTAGCTTTCTCACTGCAATTGTAAATTAATAAAACTATAAAGCCTGAAATTCACTTCGCATGCAATGATATCTAGCTCAAGTGAGATCATTTAATAAAAAAAAACTCACTTTCCAATCCCATCAAACACAGCTTCCTTGGTATACTTCCCACTATCAGTATTCAGTCCATACTGAAACAAGTCCACAAAATTATCATATCTACACAGTTGAGCTGAATTAAATGAAACAGTACAGAATTTATCACATATCTCTCTCATCAGAGACTGAGCACATATTACAAATCTTACCAATGTGAGGATGACTGCTGGATTCAACTTCATCATGAAATCAGGCAGCTGCAAGAAGGAAACACGACATATATAGAAATAGTACCAGAAAAACAAGCTTATTATGAGTGCAGCTATTGACAAGTGCAGGGTTAGCAATTCCAATAGAACAGACACTGGTGCAATACATATGACAATGAAACACTACTACCACTTTCAGGTTTTTTTTTTCCTTTGAAATGACAACTTTTATAACATGAAGTAGCAGTATCACTCCTGGTACAGGAATAGGTACTGGTGTAGGTCACCTTGCAGATTAACAGAGCATTGGGATAATCTTTTTAACCCTTATGTGCAAAGTGAGAAATATACTTCCCAAAAATTGTGAACAAGCCCCAAGCCCCAGGAGGGCTGCATATAAGAAAAAATTTGCCAGCAAAAAAGGTTAAAAAACATACAAATTAAGAGGTTGCAACAAACCTCATGCACTTGAAGGGCTCCATCCACTTCATAGTGAGTGCGAAATTCTTCCATGGGCTTGATCCTCCCATCCCAGATGGCAAATGATTCATGGAGCTTGGGGAAGAATAATGTTGCCTTCCCAGTTGACACTTCAATGGCACCATAGCAATCAGGCTCCAAGACTCCAAAAGCCCAATGAAAGTAAGACTCCTGAAGTGGAGGAAAGGGAAAAGAAAGAGAAATATAATATAATATGCTCACATCAGAGAGCTGAAGGACTGTGAAAGCAAATAACTAGTATGGAAATCACTCCTGAGGCCTGTTTCATGGAATTTACAAATTCTACAAGTTACAAGTAATTACAAGGGTCTTGTCCTAGTTGCACAAAGGTTAACTGGACCAGCTAGAAGAGTTAAACAAGAAGACATGACCCATGCAAGTACTTGTAACTTGTAAATTCCATGAAACAGACCCATGGGCTCTCCCCCCATCAAAATCCAATCAAATCCCTTACCTGCCTGAACACAGGGAAAACATCAGAGGAATCACGAGAGCAACTTTCTCCACCCATCAGCAATACAACGGCATTTTCAGGGACTTTCTCTCTGAGTCGTTCACACAGCCTCTTTCTGTTCAAAGCATGAAGTTCCATAGGAATACGAAGGGTATGCCTCCCAAGACAGAATGATCCTGGTGTTTTCTGGTTTCCAGCAGACCTGAAGCAAAATGTGAATGCCAGGAAAAACTCAACAGGATCACCTAAGTCACCTAAGTTCAGCTTGGACATAGCTTCATCTTACAATCACCTTTTAAGTTGACCTGCCACTCAACTCATCCAGCTTAAGTTTCTGCTTCAATTTAAGCTTAGGCCTAGACATGTATGCTCAGGCAAGAAAAAAGCATGCATAGGCCATTCATTCCATTCAAGGAGATCTGATATTTCTCATATATTGGGACTGAACAGGATATTGGATACTGCACAGAATGAACTAAACCTGGTACATCACCTTTTTCACTGCACTCTGGGAGGAATGAAAAGACTTCATGAAAAAAATTGATGAATTAAGCAACTGAGGGACCACAATGAATAAATTATATTTCTCAATAAATGAGCAGATCCCAGTATAGACTCATACAGAAGTATTTTATGCTAAGGCCTTAGCCTAGGCCTTCTTTTTCAGATTATCCTCAGTGAGGATGTCATAGAGTCTAGCAAAAACATGTCAAAGTTAAAGTCAAGTGCAAAGTTCAAGGTTTGAGCAGGAATGTTGACATTTTTTCCATTGTGACACCTTGTGTCAAAGTCAAGCATTCATATGTAATGAGATATGCCTCGTCCTCTTAAGATAAGATATATTTGTAGGAGCACTTGTAACTGCACTGGTGCCTTTTTTGCTACCATCCATGATGGCATCTAACCTTTCCATTAAGCTATTCTCAGGAGACATAATCACTAAACCTTAAAAACATAATCTAAAAGTTTCACACATATAATAAAGAAGCATAATCTTAGTCTCACTTGGGGTTTAAAGAACTTGAATTGGTTCTCTATCATTCAGATATTGCCATTAAATCAGAAAACCCTACCATACTTCATGCTATTTACTCCCTTAATAATCTTAAAAGCCAAGCCTCCCCTTCTAAAACTTCTCTCAACCAAGTGGAATCCTGTTTCTGAACACCTCTCATGGTTCACTGACTCAAATTGCCATTACATCATTTTTACTTTCAGGCCTCCAAATTGAACATAATACACTAAATGAGGTTTTATCAGGGCTGAAAACTACAGAAGAAGAAATGAGCTCATATCGGCAAAAAAATGCAAAATGAAGCTAAAATCCAATGACACTTGGCTGCTGTGACTGCACATGTGAAGAGAACTTGCATTCCCTAAATCTTTTTCTATCCATTTTTTTCCCTCCAGTTTATCCCAACTAAACACATACCTATTGTAACCATGACAGATATGGAGAATTCTACATTTGTCAACTGAACTACATGAACCACTTTTTGTACCACTCACTCAAAATCTTTGAATCACTTCCAACTCTCACCCTGTCCTCCACCCAGATGAAGAATCTTAACACGTTGATCACCACAGAAATGCTGGCCTATTGATTTTCCCATTCAGTGAGGTGCACCGGTGCACCTCGTGGTGGTCAACCTGTTAATTAGGTGCCATCTGAGAATCAGCTGATTTGACTTGCTAGGCCTTGATCTAAATTATTCTACACTCTGTTTAGAAGCAGTGGCTCAATCTGCTTCCACTGAAACTTTTTCCATTCATAGCCACTCTCCACTCTCTTCCTAACCAGTCACTCATCCAGGTACTCACTATATCTTGAATTCTTTGCACTTCCAGGCAATGTCAGCATTACACAATATAATTTTGACAGAGTATGGAATTTTCAATAACTTGCAAGTACAAATGCAGATTACCTGTACTTCCAGCTTACCTTTAATTTCGGCTAATCTTCGGTGAATGACGTCCCAACTAGCTTTTATCGATTTGTACTTTTATATTTTACTTAACATTAGAGGAAGCCTATCAAGCTAAAATGAACTGTATTTACTCTGTAGGGAAGCTAAGAATGAAGCTCGGCTACATAAGGAAAGACCATGTCCAGATAAAAGGCTGGACACAACGTTTATTAAAATAAGTCCAGACAGAACGATAGATGCAGTTAGGCTAGCCTATAAATATCAAATTTAAGATCTTACCGAGACGAGGCAGGGGCGCTGGCCGCCATGACCGCAGAGTAACGTAGATATTTTCCGAAGAAGGGAACAACTAAAATGAATACGCAGCTATTTCGTCGCTCTTCCCCTCTCCTAGGTTCTTGAAGGATTCACGAAAGATAAGTCAAGTGTTTACACGGTAAGGAGAGGAACGTGGAAATGATGTCCTCATGACGAGCTGTTCAACTTCCGCTTCAACGCGCGCGACATCTACCATGTGTTGTGGAATGCACGTCTTTTGTGTTACTTCCGACAGAGAGCACTTATTGCCTTTCGAGACCACTCCATTCTCTCAGCACCGACCAAGAAATCGGGTTCGCAGCTGCTGAGCTAGATTCCCCAGGGGCACCTGGTAATAGCATGAAGCAGCAGTTTAGATTGCTCCGACTCTTTCTCCTTTTATATCGGCCAAAGGGCATTTCTTCCCCCTCCCCATAACTGTAATACTGTTTACTTTGCTTTTGAACATTGACGCCGTTCATTTGATTCATCGGGAGCGAAAATTGCGCGCGGCAGAACTCTCCGGATTCAGGTGAAGGGTAATTCGGAATCGGGATCGAATGCTGCATACTGATTGCAGTGAGTCTCCTCATCAAAATCCGGTAAGATCCCATCAACCACGACGTTTCCACGGTAGCCTCTCGAGTCGACTCAACGCCAAATCCCTGCAGGAACTCGCTAATTATGGACGCATCCAAATTCGCACATGCGCAATCGAGACCTGCCCCGAGGATCATGGCGTAGGCCTATGTAAACGCGCATGCTTCAACGGTCAGCTCGGCGTGCATGTTTGCACTGGGACGCTCCAGGCCTTGCCCAAATCTTTAATGGAAACGTGTCGTCGTAAGTCGTCGGTTTCACCTGAAAATGCTCCTTTGAAACCGCGATGGATGTGCGGTGTGTTAAAACGTGTGACGTCACGCGGGAATGCTGCTGTCACCGGTAATTAATGTTGAAGTGCTCCAACGAGCAACCGGATGCAACCACCCACGATCGCTCAGGCTCAAACTGCCGACGATTAAAAATATATATAATAATGACAATAATTTTCGTACGCTGTAAGTAGGTAAAACGCAGGCGCAAGTGATGTTTACACTCTCCATCTCCCAGCCGGAAATCGAAATCCAAAGACAAAAAATTCCTGGGACATATTCAAACGAGAAGCCTTAAGCAAATAGAATGCCATCACCATGCACCTGAGGCGCTGAAAATTGCCACTGCAGGCAGAAGCACGAAAACCGGATGCGGCAACCGTGATCCCCCGGCTGAGAGCAAAACCTTGCTTCCCCGTCGGGGGACTTCCCGACGGCCTGGAGTGTCCCCGGCTCATCATTTCCTCCCCCCGCCCATTCACCCCATTTCCTCCGCTTCCCGGCGATCACAATGGGCTACTCCTCCGCGCAACCGTCTGCATCCAGCCGAATGATTCCCATCTGGGAAATGCGTTTCGGTGCGATTCGAAATGGTCCTTCGGGTCTTCGCAGCTACTCGATGAATATCGCATCCCCGTTTTGTCGCAGTGATTTTTTGGGGGGAAATGTTTGAGTTACGTCGCAGAGCGAAAAATTGAAAATGATTTACGCGGTGATGGTAAATTAATTCGTGAGAGGAAGAAGTCGTCAGGTTACCGTTACGCTACTCCCTATTCTTTATGTTACTCCCTATTTCTTTGAGTTACCCCCTATTTGTTACGTTACCCCCTTATCGTATATTTTCCTAGGGAAAAGGAAAAGGACTCCGCGGGGTAAATTCATCTTCGCGGCAAAGTGGCCATGCATTAGAATCCTTTGCGTGCAACGTTGCAATTCCTACGAGACGGGAATGGCTTCCCGGAGATGGCAGAGCGGGTTTCGCATCGGAACGATTCCCATTCCAGCTAATGGTTTAATGCGACGGAAGGGGGGGGAGGAAGAGGGAGGGGGAGGAGGAGGGGGAGAGGGATCCGGCATCCCTGCAGGGCTGGGGAAAGGGGGGAGGGAGGACTCTTCCCTGCTTCCTGTGCAAGGATTTCCGGCTTTCAAGAAGTAGGCAACCACACCCTGCAAATTGTTCCGGCGGAACCCCAGGATTTTTTTTTTCTTTTCTCCCTCTCTCTCCCTTCAATCTCTGGATGCATTTTCTGCTCGGATCCTCTCTCGCTGCCGTTTTCTTGGCCCGCGATCCCCTTCATGCGATTAGGGAGAGTCATTCTCGTTCCCCGCTCCATTTCACCGAGGATGTCCCTCAGGAGGATGTCCCTCAGGAGGATGTCCCTCTGGAGGATGTCCCTCTGTGCCTCCGTTGCACAGAACTTTGCGAACGTTTTCGCTGTTCGAGTTCGGTCGGATCGATCTGACGCGGAAGGTATGTCAGGATTGTTACACATTTATCCGCCACTAATGCAATGTTGGGCAATAAAGTGGAATATTTTCCACGAATCTAACCAACCGGAGACCATCAGCAGCTCCCGTCGAAAGAAAAATGCGACATCACAGCTCACGCACCATTCGCTCAACGTTACTCGAATCAGCCGCCAGATGCCCCCACCGCTCCATCCCCAATCTTCTCCCCTAAAACCGTCCGCTTTTATTTCCGCTGCGGCCGTCCCCCGGCGTCAACCCGCGTCCTCTGTCGAGTCCGAGTGCTTGCATTGGGGGCCACAGCGATTTTTAAATGCGATGAGGGATTCGTCCCAGGATGTCTGTCGTAGTATCAACTTCGGGCCGAGGAGGCCATCGCCGGTTACATAGTATCGCTTTGTCGAACGTCTACGACTTCAAATTCGCCACTTTTTGAAAGACAATTTTAGACGAGGGTTCGCATTCAGATCCCTCCGCCATGAGGCAAAGTACTCGAGATTACTGAACGTGCGACTGTCGCTTCACCAGGAAATATACGATGTCAACCGGATTTCGGGATCTTTTTGATTTCATGGACTCTTTATTTCACGACTCTTCTCAATAGCTGGAGGCTTCGGCAAGGAGCTGCCAGGAACGTCGGGGTAAGTAATGGTCTCGATGCCATTGAAAAAGTCGTAAAATAAAGAAAAGGTTTTGCCCTCTCTCAATGAACCTTCGCAACAGCTGGACGTGGTAGTAAAAAAGGTAGGAAAATAGAAGAGGACGTGGTGCAGGGTTGCCAGATGTGGCCTTCCACGCCCACAACCACCACCACGCTCTCTCGTCCAGCCGTTCTCCCACCTGCTCGCCACTGCGACTGGAAGAGAACTGACCGACGGAGCAACCAGATCTCGAGCCAGACTCGGGGGACTCTGGTGGCCGCGCATGCGCCTTCCGCTTGTTACGCTGGTGGCTGCCAATGCTTTTCAATGGAGAGAATTTCATTTTTTCTGAGTGATCTGCTTGAGAAAGAACTTCGCCTTAAAGAACTTTAACTCTAACTAGCCCCACAGCGACACTTTTCTTCGCCTCCTTTTTTTCCCGTCTGGTCTAGATGATATGAACTAAGGACCCACCCAGTAAGGGTTCTTCAGGGTTGTAATAAATACCGCGTTCACATTCAGAGTCTTAGCATAAACATGATAAACATATTAGATAATGGTTGTTATGCGCACCCGTGAAGTCTTGCTCTGATTTCTCGAAAGAACCTTAACGTGTAACGCACATGTGGCTCCACCAAGGTTAATTTCTTCAACACGCTTTTCGGCATTGGGAAAAAGCAGGACACGAGCAACAGTGCATATACAGCAGCAAAAATGTCCCAAATCGAGACAGAGGAAAGAAATGTAAGACTCAAGCACGACACACAGAGCAGAAAGACGGATTCTTGCCGAAAGAGCCAGCATCAGGCAGCGGTCACAGAGCAGATCTTTGGTCATTTTATGATGATTGGACGAGAGAAAGGACTGGGGGAAATCCTTCGTTGGGTTTTGGCTAGTGGCTCTGGAATTATTCAAACATGAGATGATCCACGAATTTCAGGATTGCGTCGGACAGAGGGAGCGAGTGCCTTGAATCAAATCGACAAGGATTCATAATTTCGCCTTTTTATCTGGAATAGAACGAAGCTTGTAACGCTTGTAACGAAGCTTGTGTAAGTAGCGTTAGTAACGGGTAAGATGGAGTAACGTTGTGTTGCTTGCCCCATTTTGAATGGAGAGGTCGATTTGCGCAATTTAAAAAAATGTTACGAAATTTGCCGGCTCATGTTGTCGAGAAATCAGAGATTCGCGATTGACAAGAACAAGATGGAAATTGGAGTGCCAAAATTTTTGCTATTCGAGTGCGGCGTTATCTGAAAAGCAGTATGGAGATTGCAGATGCGGGATTGCGCCGGACTCCCATGTCAGCCGGGAACGATAAGTCAACCGGGAACATGAACCCCGGATCAGGGCATAATCCCGCAAACAAAGGCAGTTGAGCAGGCAAGTGGGGCATCGAGGCTGTCGTTTGTGTTCCCATCGCAAATCACGCCTCGCACCAAGGGCATGAAGCATGGCTTATGCGCTGCTCCCATTCAAACCCCCCCGGGGATGAATGGAAGGGAACCGAGGCGCCAAATTGTCCTCACAAAGGCCCCACAATGCAAATAGATGCACGGTTAATGAAAGGTTGTGTCAATAGCGCAACGAGACGCATCTCTCAAAAGGGAAGAAAGCTTCTCTGGAGGGAAAACGAGTCCCTGCGCCATCTGCTCCCCGATTGGTCCTCGCAGACGTCTCTCCCTCGCATCCACCAATCGGAGTCGACCCGGCCGCCCGGGCCCCGCCCCCTCGCCTCTCGGAAAGGCCAATGAAGGAGATGTGAATCATTAGGATACTTGATTTCAAGTGGGTTTGGAGTGCGGGCCTCATGCGGGAGTAGGCCTCACCAGCCATGTCGAATAAGTGCACGGGTTTCTCCGTCCGCGACCTTCTTGGGAAACTACCAGGTGGGTCCCCATTGTCTCCTGCATTCAATTTTCTCAGTCGTTTCTGGTTCCTGTCGGTTTTCGCGCGACGTTTTGGCGATTTTTCGGCGACGTTTGCGTTGTTTCGGGCGAGCTGGGTTTGTTCTTCGGTGATTAATTTTCTGCAGCGCCGAGTTTTATTCATCGAAGAAACTTAAGTGTTCGTGCTGGCATTTTGTGCATATGGCACGAGTGCTGATTTTTTTTTGCACGGTGCGACTATTTGCCATGATGAATAGCGGCAATCGGCCGGCGACAAAGCAAGTCCCATTTCATATCGACTCCTTGAAGATAGATTTTTAGTTTCCGTGCGGACAATTAGCATCCCATCGACGCCCGTGGGAGCCGGAGCAACTGGCGACCGAACCGGAGCAACTGGCGACCGAGCCGGAGCAACTGGCGACCTCGAATGACTGGCGACATTTTGCGAAGTCCCGAAATCGAAAAGTCGACAGAGCAGTTCGCGGAAACCACGACCAAATCAAAGAATAACTGAGAAACGACGGAGGCATTTGGGTTTCGGTTCTGTGCAGATTTCCGCCGGAAGTTTAACAGCTGACTTTTGGCACACGACAACGAAGGTCAATCCTTGGATGTCAATTGACCCGAGATTTTGGGCGTTGGCCACACGCACCAAAACGTTGGCCAAAACTCTTGAAGGATATCTCCGTCGTTTGTTCTGCGCTTTAACGGATTTTTTTGCAAACTTAAAAAAACTGCGAAGCTGATCCTGCTGTGCCAATTTTTCGGCTCTGCATGGAATGGCATTGATTTTTTTCTCTGCCGACTTGTGGCGCCCAGAGTTTGCGACAACTTCTTCGATTTTCTTATTTTTTAATCATACTGCTGCCAGCAATCAGAAGTTGCAAGAAGTTCGAAAAAATATTCATCGCCAATATAAATAAACAAATAAGAGTAATAAATAAAATATATATTGTTCTAAAATAATAATTTAAAAATCCGCCATTAACACTCCTCTAAATTTTGGCGAGGCGAGCAGAAAGTTCGGAAGGGGAAATCGGGACTTAATCGTGTAAATAATAAAAGAGAACAAGACTAACCGCAAGCGTAACCTGAACCGTAGTTCCGGTTTAGTAACCGGAATGAAAAGCGGGCGAGAAAAGATTTTAAAAATATATATCAAAATTCTGAATTGAATAAATAACCAGAAAATCTTTAATTCTGAATTGACCTTGAGGCCAGAGATAAAAACGGTATGGTTCTTGGAATTATTTATTTTTATAAGGGGGGGAAATTATCATCGATAACCGGGACTGAAATTCGTGGAAGTGGAAAATTTTCATGCAGCTTGTGCGGTTTCGTCGTAAACCGGGGGGCGGATTCAGTGGTGACCGCGGTTTCAAGGTTTCTGGTTTGGGTTTGGAGTCAATTGGGTCCGAGGGCGTCAATTGGGGTCCGAAGGTGTCAATTGGGTCTGAGGGATTCATGTTGAAACATGTCGAGGTCGGTAGGATTAACCTCGAAAGGTCGGTGAGGATGTCGCGGTTATCGGTCTGCTCCGGCTCCGAGGATCACTCATCGGTGCCGTTGATAGTTCATCGGTGCCGTTACCGTTCCGTTGGAATCTCAGACATTCCACGGTGAAAAGTTGTTTTTGCCCGCCGAGGCCCACTTGTCACCCATCGGTTAGCTCAAGGGGTTATTTTATTTCATGAGTCCCGTGTTGACAAAAGAGTTTTTAGGGAGGACGGGGCGGGGCGGGGAGGGGAGGGGGGGGGGCGAATATCCAGGAATCGCTTCCTCGGTCACGTCTGCGTGGAAGCCCACTCGAAAAGTCCGGCATTGTCCGGTGTCAAGGACGAGAGGTATTTCCTGTCCCACACAACACCATTCATCCGGTTAAACTTCATTCATCCGGTTAACTTATTACGAGGCTTTCCTTGAAAGGGGGATGCTTCGAAAATCCCGCTCCTTTCATCGCTTGCACAACCTGTTGACCGCATCCTTCGGATGAGCGCCGGTTATTCGATTTCGACTGACGGTTAGTAGCCGGTTATTCGGTTGTGACCGACGGTTAAACCCCGGTTACTCGAATTCGACGTGTTAAAGGCCGGTTATTCGATTTCCCGCCTCGGTAGGACTCCGGTTATCCGGTTTCGCCTCCCGGTTAAGCATCGCAGGTCCGCCGAGAGTCGGCCAAGTCTCATCGAAACGGAGTATAGCCCGGAAATTCGGCGAAATCGATTCTTTTCATCCACTTAATCCCTCCCCGACGCAATATACATAAATTCATTGAAATTAACGAGCACGTGAGCCCTCAGGATCGGCGCACGGGAAGATCCTATCGCGCATCAATCTCAATAAATGGCTCGCAAAATGAACGAGCAAAGATTAGGGCGAGGATTTGGCGAAAGCCATTTTTCTCAATTTCCGATCTCCCCCGTCGATTTCCCCGCTGTTCCCCGAGCTTCTTCCCCGCTGTTTCCCCCGTCACGGACGTGCAACCTCACTATATTAAATTAAATTAAATTATATAATATTGTATATTATATGTATACGTGCACCTCCTTCTCCGATTTATCGGTTGCTAAAATTTTCTGCAAAATCACGCTGATAACTTTTCGTTCGATCCTTCTCGGCTTTCATTTAGATTCGACTAATTAGGTATTAATTGATTAGGCAGATTAGAAATTTGGCTTTAGCTAAGACGAGGAAATGATTTCGCGAAATTTTACGAAGGAAAATATTGGCCGGCAAATTCGCAACTCAGATTTGCACTTTTTTGATATTGAGACATTCGGCGAGAAAAAGATTTGGACGGGTCAATTTCTTTTTCGCGCGACGAATCGGAGGGCAAACGAGGCGCGACTTCGCTTGGGTGGACACGAATGAGAAGTCTTCACGGACTTCGCAGGCCTTCTTTCGTGCAGGCCTTCTTTCGTGCAGGCCTTCTTTTATGCAGGCCTTCTAAATTTCAATTTTGGAGGGCGTGAAAATTGCGGGTCGAGCGCTTTTACGCTCTTTTTCCACACGTTTTCGTTTCAGTTGTAAAAAAAAATTATGTGAAATTGGCATCTTTTCGTTGCAAATTATTGCTTTATTGGAGCCAGATTTTGCGTGTTCCGATCTCATAAATTCAATTTGCCAATATCGTTCAGAATGTCGGATGCATCGACGGAAGGGAATTCTGTCACGCTATCGTCGTATTTCACGACTGGGTCGTGTGCAAAATTTATTTTGGCACGTTCCGGCGAGCCGATATTGCGTTCTGGGCATAAATTGGGAGATTTTTTTCCCGAAGGCTTTCAGCGAAAATTCTCGGTGAAGAAACGGCCGGACCGTTTCCGACGTGACCGGATTCGCAGCCGAGGAGCTCGGAAACCGGAGAAAACATCCGCAAACACACTTTCGCGGTATTTTTCTCGCCCCGCGTGTTTGTCTCTCTCTCTCTCTCTCTCTCTCTCCCCTCGGGAGTGATGAATCCCGACTGGCAATACCGACCGGCAATACCGACTGGCAATCCCGACCGGCAAACACGATGGTCAGCGGATAAATACCTGGGGTGAAGCGTCTTCGCACCTTCGCCGAGTGCTTGGCATGTGCGTATATGCCGACTAATGGCTCTCTAAATATTGGCCTTTCCCGTCGGTGGAGGAATCCATGTATGCAGATGGGCAACGATAGGGGGAGTCATAAACACCTCATCGTCTCCCTCTGGTCGAGGTCGGGTTTCCACAGGAATGTTTTACTGGGTTTCTTCAAAATATTTTACCAGGTTTCTCTTAAAAAAAGGAAAAGCAGCTCTGATTTCCTTAAAAAATAGTGCTGATTTCCTCAAAAACGTTCCGATTTCCTCAAAAGTGGTTTTACCGTTTCGTGGCAGACGAGGACACGAAATCCAGCGTCTCCAGCGGTCCCGAGGTGACCTCAGCCCCCGCGGACAGCCAATGGTGCGAGGAGGAAGAAGAGGATGAGGAGGAATGCGAGGAGGACGGAGGCCGACGGGGCCTGTCGCCCGGATCCGGCAGCGTGGTGAAGAAACGGAAGCGCCGAGTCCTCTTCACCAAGCAACAGACGTTCGAGCTAGAGAGGAGATTCCGCCAGCAGCGATACCTCTCGGCGCCCGAGCGGGAGCATCTCGCCTCGCTCATCAATCTCACGCCCACGCAGGTTCGCAGTTGCTCCGCCCTGTAGGGAGATTAGGGATTGATTAGGGAGAAAGTAACGCACTTTCGACATGTCGTGATCTAAATTTCAAGTTTTTTTTTTAATCAGAGGATAATCCGAGGATATAATCCCTTCCCGATGTGACACGAAGTGGAGTAGTGAATCTACATCGATTTTTAGGAGTGGAACTGTTCCAAGAACCATGAAAGGCGGTTTAAAGAATTGCACAAGAATTTGGCCCAGGACCAAAAAGAGCCGTCGAAGAAAATATTGTAAAAAAAGAAAAAAGAAGCAAATTCGCAGAGCGTCCTTAACCCTTAAACTACCAGAATCCAGACACGTTTAACTCATGGTTCCATCTCTTCGTTCCCAAAAATCGCTGCAAAATACTTTGGCTTATTGCTGGCTTATTGCTTATTGCTGGCTTATTGCTGGCTTATTGCTTATTGCTGGCTTATTGCTGTCACATGTCTTCACGAAAATAGATCGAGGATCAGACTTTACAATTTGACGCCTACACAAATGGCTACATTTTTGTAAGATAATTCGGAAAATTATCCGGGACATCGCTTTGTTGCAGGTGAAGATCTGGTTCCAGAACCACCGATACAAGACGAAGAGAGCAAGGCAGGAATCGGGAGCGAAGATGGCAGCAGCAGCGGCAGCGGCAGCAGCGGCCGCGGCAGCCGTCGGCGGCGGCCCACACGGACCGCTGGACTTCCACCCGGGCGCCCCCCGACGCGTCGCCGTCCCGGTCCTCGTCCGCGACGGGAAACCTTGCAGTGCCACGTCGAACGCCGGGAACGGGCACGTGCAAGGGCACGTGCAATCCCTGCACGTGCCCGTCTCCCACCCCCTCCCCTGCATCCCCTTCGCCTCCATCAATCCCTTGGCCTTCTCCGTCGAAGATCTCCGCAAGATGTCCTGGCCGGAATTCGTCTCGAGCCCCGTCGGCATCTTCGCGATGAACCTGGGCGTCATGCCCCGTTTCTCGTCCCATTGAATCGATTCATCTCCCGTTTCGTTCGGTGTGCGTCGTCTTGGTTGTGTACAGCTCTCTCCGGGACAACTGTGATATGACGGGAAGACGTAGATGTGAGGATGAATTCTCAGATCGATCTATTATTTATGCTCCGCACGCCCATATTGTTGAGAAATAAAGAAACGTTCTTGGAAGTCGTCACGACTCGAAACACTGCGTCATATTTCTTAAGCCATCTGATGCCAACTGATGCCATCTGAAGCCAACTGATGCCATCTGAAGCCAACTGATGCCATCTGAAGCCGTCTGATGCCGTCTTCCGCTCGTCCAGAAACGCGTAAGAATCTCGTCAATTTTTTCATACACATTTGCCAACGATTTCCACTTGAAGTCTCGTCGGCCCACAACTCGATACAAGCAGGATTTCGAGAACGAAATTCGCTCCCAGCTACGAAAGTAGAAGCCCGAGTCGAATTTGAATCGACCTGCCGTCCTTCGCGCGACACGTTGAAATTGGTCGTCGACAGGCTCATCCGACCTCGAGAGAGCTCTCAAAGACTCTCAAGGACTGAGGCTCTAAAAAATTGAGGCTCTCAAGGACACTCGGACGAGAAAAACGTGATTTTTTTTTAAATGTAAAATTTATGGGAGCCGCCTGCGACACCACGTATTATTCTAACGCAAAACATATTTTTAAAATTAATTTAAAATAAGTTTTTATGAAATTTTCATATTTTATTTCGTGGATTTTATTTCTGGATCGCGGAAACCGAGGACGCTCCTGGGAAAAACTCCGACCAAAAAAAAAAATTAAATTCACTTGATTAAATTTTTCATTTCACCTTTCTTCTTCAAATATTCAAATATTTACGCAAGCTCATATTCACACACTCATATTCACATTCGACGACATTATGTATTCGCATGAAATATTCGCGATGACGTCACTTCATCCCACCGTTTTTGCAGATACGACACGATGCAAATATCCCCCCTCATTACATTTGCTTAATTGTTTTTAAATTAACAAACTCCACGAGGAATTTCCTTCGACGATTGTCGCTGAAGATTCAGGAAAATTTATGCGACCGATAATTCCATCCTCACGTTCGAAATCGGTGTCGATTTGGATGCACGAAGATGAGAAGTCACTTAGGGTCGGGCAACTTAGGGTCGGAGCGACTTTGGGTCGGATGAGCCTAATGCACTCGAAATGCGATTCCCGACGGCTCCGGCACATGCATGATTGCACAAACAAAGGGCGGGGAAGGGGGGGAGGGGGCGGGGAAGGGGGGCGGGGGGGGGGGTCCTGTCCCCTGCTGAGGGGGCGGGGAAGGGGGGCGGGGGGGGGGGATCTGTCCCCTGCCTTTCTCACTCTCCGATCTCGGTCGAAAGGGCCTTTGTTTCTCTGGCCCGGTTCGGGTCGGGATTTGCGCTGCGTTCTTCAAAGCCTGATTTTTATCGATGGTAAAGAAACGCGGATTGCTGAATATGATGAGCCGTTTCCTTGCAATTCAAGTAAATTGCTCATGGAGTCATTTACAGCCAATTAATATTGATCTCTTTAAAATCTGTATATATTTTTCTCAAATAATTTTCCAATAATAATAATTATCTAAAAATAATAATTATTATTATCTAAAAATAATAATTATTATCTAAAAATAATAATTATTATCTAAAAATAATAATTATTATCTAAAAATAATTATTATTATCTAAAAATAATTATTATTATCTAAAAATAATAATTATTATCTAAAAATAATAATTATTATTATCTAAAAATAGTTATTATTATTATATAAAAATAATAATAATTTTTGTCCTCAACGCTGCCAACCGCTGAAGGAACGAAGCTTTGACTGGTCCGTGACGGAGCAGCCGCGGAATCTCTTCTTGTCTCCTTAATTCCCCGCTGGCAGATGTCAAGACCCTAATCCCCCGAGCGAGCAAGATCAATTGCCTCTTGGTCGCGGAGAGAAAAGAGAGAGGAAAAAAGAGAAATCCAAGCTCGCATTACGCCACAACTCTCAATGGGAAGGATTAACATAATGCTATTTAGCTGGCGGCTAATTCTATTGACTTGATTGGTTTCGCTTCCCCGTTTTGCCGGGATTAGTCCCGTTCGCAGAAACGGTGCTAATGATTTTGGCAAATCTCGAGCGGCGGAGTGCGAGGTGCTGCTGATTACGGACGTGTTTTGCATGCACGTTACAGGAGGCTGAAAGCCCCATTTAGGAGAGAGAGAGAAGAGAGAGAGAGAGAGAAGAGAGCAGAGAGCAGAGCCGTCGTCGTGGTCGTCGGAAATCCGCCTTTTACCTGTCAAAGCCCTTTCGGGTCGGGGGGGATCCGCAATCCCCCGCCCCGCTTAATGCCCCTTGATGGATGTTTCCCAGCGATGCTCATCATCGGCAGCATACTTGGCCGGATCAGGTGCCCCGATGCTACTTTCGGGTCCTCGCGCTACCGCCTTCTATCCCGCGCTACCGCCTTCTATCCCGTGCTACCGCCTTCTGTCCCGCTATACCGCCTTTTTATCCCGAGCTGTTTATGGAGGTCTTCTGCCTTCCAGAGTTATTTACTCCGTGATTGAATTCTCTTGTCGACACGGAAAACCTCAGTCGAGGAATTCACTCTCGAATTGGATCATTACGGAGGGATTTGGCTTAAGGGTGAAAGGGTCAAATTACCCAAATGGATTACGAGGCAATTGCGTAGACGTTGGCTGGGATGTCTCATTCGTGGAATACGGATGAGCTAATTTCGCATTTCGGTTCGAACAAAAGAAACAGCAGCCTCACGATATGGGCAATATTGCTGTGACAATATTGCCGTGGCAATATTTCCTTCCTTCTGTTCATCGCTGCGAATGCACAGATTTAATGCAAGCGCTGTATGCAATCAATACATTTCCCCGGTTCCGCTTTCGACCGTAAACAGTCCCGACCCACGCAAAGGAACCATCCACGAACCCTACGCGTCATCCACAACCCCGATGCGTCATCCACAAACGCTCCGCGTCATCCAGAAGCATGGCAACCCAGTCGACCCTGACCCGCGACCCGCCATCCCGAAAAATTTCCCCCTTCCAAGGCCTGCATAAAAGAAGGCCTGCACGAAAGAAGGCCTGCACGAAAGAAGGCCTGCGAAGTCCGTGAAGACTTCTCATTCGTGTCCACCCAAGCGAAGTCGCGCCTCGTTTGCCCTCCGATTCGTC